AGGAATCAATTCAGAATATTGTTGATTGGTCTATTGAATCTTGCTTGTCTCAAGGTGTTGAAGGTAGGCTTCTTAAGGTTCTTGATTTGATGAAGGCTTCAGAGCAGCAGCTTACTGTGCAGATTGCCGACATCGAGTCGGAGCTCCGCGCGCTGCGCAGCCGCTCGGCGGAATTCTCGGTCGAGCTCAAGGCCCTTGCCGCTCGTGTCGAGGTTCAGGCTGCTGCTCGTGCTGGTCCGCAAGGAGGCACCACGGGCGCTGGTGTCTGCAAGTACGGTAAGGCTTGCCATCGACGTGATTGCGTGTTCGACCATCCGCAGGGGCGCACGATTGATGAGGGTTCAGAGAAAGCGAAGGCGTCGAGTGCTTCGCAGCCTCCCTCTGGACAGGCAGGCGATGGCCCAATGCGGATCAATCCGCGTGCCTCGCCAATAAATTATTCGAAGTTTGAGAATATTGTATTCGAGGACGCTATTGACGACCTTCTCGGCGGTACGCTCGGCACAGATCCCACGGTCATTCTCCCACCTGAGCCCGGTGTCGATGCAGGGCTGTGCAGGCAAATCAATATCTTGGATGGGTGGTGCTTCTTCTTCGACCTGCCCGTCGCGGTCTTGGGGTTCATTGAGCCGGCGTTTTCCTCGCATACTTGTTGTTCGTCTTCTTCTTCCTGGATTTTCTTTTCATTGAGGTTATTATGTAGGGGGCTTCCGCCATCTCTCATTCACCACGCGGGGTGGGCGGATTGTCTCCCGTGTCATGTCACAGACTTTCCTTGGGCACGCTCCTCCTCCTCCTCCTCCTCCTCCTCCTCCTCCTCCTCCTCCTCCTCCTCCTACTCCCCCTCCTCCCTTTGAAAAGCGAACGCTATATGGCCGCCCAGCGCAGGGCCGACGAGGCATGGGGCCGCTTCAGCATAGCCGTCCAGTCCACGGTGCAGACAGTCGTCGACATGCTCACGGGCGACGAGGGCGCGCATTGGCAGGCCGCGATCTTCACAGGATGGAAGCACGACGCCTGGTACGCTGCCAGCCGCCCTCACAGGAAGCCGCAGGCCGCCGGCGCTCACTGCGCCACCAAGGGAACGGAGGAGGTGATCCAGCGGATCACCCATGCCAGCGCCAACGACAGGACCAGCTACAAGAGCCACAAGGTAGCCAACGAGCTGTGCACACTCCGGCGCCTGAGCTGGCTAGAGACCCACGAACGAGACACTTGCAGAGAGGCGCTTGACCTGCGAAGGAAACTCCAGAGGCAGATGCCCGAGCTCAGCTCGCCCCAAGCATGCGGGCCACCGACGCCCAGCTCGCCCGCCAGAGGCGTGTGGAAGCGGCTATCGCCATGGCCACTGGCACACTTACCCGCAACGACCAGAAGGAGCAGCTGGACAGATGTCGCACTCTCCTGCGCAGCTCAGAACAGGCGGCTTCCAGGTGGCTCAAGGGCGGCATGCCGAGAGACACTGCGGTCAGGGAGGGTGGCGCGGTATCCACTTCGAACACCCAGGCGCTCGAGTTTCTGGCTCGCCGGTGGCGCAAGGTGTGGGACCGGGAGCTGCCAGGCATTGACGAGGCCAGACGTCGTCTTCGGGCGTGGGTCCCGCACCTCCAGGAAGAGCCTTGGCTGCCGCTCGACCGCGGGGCGATATGGGCCGTGATGGCAGAGCAACGGGGGAAAGCTGCAGGGCCCGATGGCTGGGCGGGGGATGAGCTCCATTCGGCCAAATTCGCCGCCGACAGCTTCACCTCCCTGTGCACCGCCTTCGAGACGCTCGGGGTGGCGCCAATTGGGTGGAGGGGTTCCAGGCAAACCCACCTGCCGAAGGAGGAAGCCGATGCCGAGGGCAGCTTTCTCGACGCAGAGGCGTTCCGCCCCGTCTCAGCGGGCTCGGCATGGTACCCGGCGTGGGCAAGCGCTCGAAGCAAAACACCTTGCTGCAGGAGGTAGCTCAGCCTGGGGTTGGACGGGGACATGAAGGGCGCGAAGCCCGAGAAGGAGGTGCACGACGCCCTGGCGGAGCTACCCTCTGAGGCCGCAGCGGGAGCATTTTACACATCTTGGGACTACTTCCTGGCGTTCGACATGATGCATCCACGCCTCGTGAGAGAGGCCCTGCACTTGCTGGGCATGCCGGGGGAGCTCGTCAGCATCATCACAGGCATCTGGAGCGACCAGGACAGGCACCTCCTCCTCGGCGGGTGCGCCCACCCACAGGCGCAGCACGTCGGCGCGAGCATCCCCTAGGGGCACCCGTGGAGCCCGATGAGCCTCAGCGCCGTGCTGCTGGGTGCCCTGCGAGAGGTGAAAGCGACCTGCCCTTCAGTGGCCCACCAGCTCTACGTGGACCGCTGGACATGGGAGAGCCGTAGCCTGAGCGACATAGTCGGCGCCGCCAAGCTGTGGCGCGAGCGGGGGGGCACTCTGGCATGCGTGAAAATGCAACGAAGGAGCAGTGGTTCCACAAGGACCCGCAGGAACGACGGCGACTGGCTGCCCACCCAGACATTGATCCCGAGCGGGCTAAGGACCACCTCGCTGTGCTCGGCACCACCATCACGGGTGGAAAGCGCAGACCAGAGACAAAAAAGGAGACAGCAAGGTGGACCGCAGCCGCCGCGCAGGCCCGGCGCGCGCTCGCTCGCTTCCGTACGACGCCCTCCCGAAGCAGCGGATCATCGAGTCGGCGGCGATGAGTACGGATGGCACGAGACCGTACCAACTGCCGCTGGGTGCGACCGCTTGCGGTAGCTCGTGTCCCAGGCAGCCGAGATTCCACGACACGCAGCAGTGGAACTCCGCACCCTCGTCATGGGGCACCGATCGGACGCGAAGTACCGATGCCAACAATCGGCGGTCACGGCTGTAGCCTGCGCCCAAAGGAAGCAGGATGGAAGCCGCGGCGACTTGCCACGCCTCCCACTGACCAAGAGCGGCCTGCCCAGGGCTCTCACCAAGCACTTGCGCTGGGCAGGGAGGAAGCCCCATGCCACCCGGCAATGGGCGTGGGTCCATGACAGCATCGAGGCCTGCTTCTCGCTGCGGCCGAACGACGACGACTGGGTGCACCCCAAGCGGCTTGCCCACTACCTGAGAGAAGCGTGGCGCTGCCACATTCACCAGGCAGGAACGGCGGGATGCACCCCTCGCGCAGCTGGTCGGTTACGATTCCAAGAGGGCCAAGGCCATCCAGGACATGTACAACACCGACGCCAAGAAGGCTCGCAGGATCTTCGTTGGAGCGGTGATCAGCCTGGCCAAATGCCACGTCCAGATCAAAGGTGCTACTGCATCCGGGTGTCCACGGCGTGGCGTTGGCTATGTTACACTCAGTCATATGTTATGGCATTGTCCCTCGATCCCTGGTGCTGCTCGCAGGCCCCGCTACGGAGGCATCGACCACGTTTAGACGCGGCCGGGCTGACCCACCGGCGCCAAGGCGCACGAAGGCAGGGACGGAGAGGTCTTTGAGTGGTTCTGTAACGTGAACAAGGCGATTCTCGACAGCAGGCACCGAAGGGGCGGTGACGTTCCTGACAACCACTGACATGACGCCTAGCTAGGCTAGGCCCTGTGGGTGTTAATCCCAAACTCACTCACGTAGTCAGCTTTCTACTACGAGCGCTATATGGGCATGCCATTCGGACGGGGGCCTCCGTTTCGGAAAGGAGCTGCCTTGAACAGGAAGTGGCCTGCATGCATTTCCGCGCGCCAGGCGACGCGACAAGTACGATCGTAGAGTCCAGCGAGGTGTCCAGCAAGAGCTCCGTTTTGAAATGGATCAGCCACACGCAGGGGGGGGTAGGAGGAGGGGGGAAGACTTCTTGGAAGCACCCCTGCTTCTTCGAAGTCGCGGGCCTTATCGGTAGATGTAAGGCTGGCGCCTTCTAAGCAGCAGGAGTGCTTCTAAGAAGCCTTCCCCCCTTCCCGTACCCCCCTGTGCGCGCCGCCAAAAGGAGCCGGCCCCACCCGTGTAATTGTTGCACATGTCTACCCCTCGGGTCAGCAATCCCAGAGAAGCTTCAAGCTAAAACCCCGCTTTGAACCACCTGTGCAAGTGTCGCATGTCTTAGGCTTCGGGCCGTCTCTCAGGAAGCCTGACGCGATAATCACAGCTAGGAAACGCACCGCCCACAGTCCTTGCAGTTGCGGCGAATGAGCAAGACGAGTGTGCGCAGCGGCGAGAGCCCCGGTTAGAAAAGGACCCTGTCCTCCATCCTTGTAGCTGCTGCAGGCTTTCAAAGCGAGCGTGCGCGGTTCCAGGGGAAGAGCCTTTCTTTAACAAGGACCCGCCTTCAATCCGTGTAAATACTGCAATTTTCAAGCTTGCGGGAAATATTTGCAACTCCAGGTTTCAGGAGGAACTCTCAGGCGAGAAGCCCCGGGCAGGGCTCACTTCGATTTCTCCGATTCGATTGGATTCGATTTCGATAGACTCCGATTCCGATCCGAGTGCACTTCGGATTCCGGTTGGGATCCGATTTCCCAATCAGTGGAGGCCCACTAGCCTGCCGATGCCTACCGATTCGAATTTTCCCGACTCGGCTACCGATTTCCGCCGATCCAACTTATCGATTCGATTTTGAGCTCTCCTGCCGAGCCGCTTTACCGATACGTTCGGGGGCGCAACAGGGAGGAATTATCAATAGGAAGAGGGAGGGAAAAGGGGACGGCGAGCCCTGGCCTCCGACCATTTGGTCGTCGAAACCGACGACGGCGACCAACATCCAGCCAGTTCCTCGAGTTGCGTCCAGCCGTGGCGACGAGAACCTCTTGAAACGTAGGACAGCTTGCGAAGACGACGACGACGATGACGACGGCGACGACGACGACGAGGTCGGCGCTCGCCAGGCGGCCGCCGATGGCGAGGACGCCTCGATGCTGGGGCAGCGGCGCGGCCCAGACGCGCGGCCTTCCCCGCGAGGAGCGACCACGACCACGACGACGACGACGACGACGACGACGGCGGCGACGACGACGACGACGACGACGACGACGACGACGACGGCGACGGCGACGACGGCGACGACGACGAGGACGGCGACCTCTTCCTCCTCCTCCTCCTCCTCCTTCTCCTCCTCCTCCGACGACGACGACGACGGCGACGGCGGTGGCGACGGCGACGAGCAACGGCGACGAGCGACGGCGACGGCGACGGCGACGGCGACGAGCGACCGGGCCGCGCGCCTCGCCCGCGCGAGCTGGGCAGGGGCGGTGGCGACCAGGGCGGCCAGGGCAGCGTTTTTTGTTGGCAGGCTGGCCGTCGGAAGGTACGGTCGGGCCAAGGTCTACGATCGAGGTCGGCTCGGGGAGGGTACCCGAATTCGAAGAAGGAAAAACGTAAGCATGAGCTTTCAGCGTTCCGCGCGGATTTCTTGGACTTGCGCTGGGTCGAGCGATCGTATGGTTAGGGAGGATGTTTTGGCCGGCGGAGGGTTTCACGTTTTAGAAGGCTCTTTTTTGTCCTAGGTCCGTGCGTAGGTGCTTTTGGATATCCAGGTCCGAATCAGTCAATCAGTCCCAATCTACTTCAAGCGCCTTCCTACTTCAAGGGTCGATTTGTTTTTGCTGTCGTTTGTGATTATTTGGGCGGGCCCGAAGCCAATTTAAGTTATCCGCCTTCCTATTCCACGTTTCCACCTGCTTCTTCCGACTGGCTGGTGGAGAGAGAGGGAAAGAAAGAGAGAGAGAGGCAGAGGGGTAGACGTCCCCAGACCGAGCCAGCTTCGGTCATTCAGCCAGAGTGCGCATGTGGTCTCCGTTTTTGTTGTTGTTGTTGCTGTTGGTGTTGTTGGTGGTGTTTTTGTTGATGGTGTTGTTGTTGCTGTTGTTGTTTGTGCGATTGCTGTTGTTGTTGGTGGTGATGGTGTTGGTGTTGTGGTTGCTGTCTCTGCTGCTGCTGCTGCTATTGTTGCTGCTGTTGTTGGTGTTGGTGGTGGTGTTGTTTATGTTGTTATGGTTGTTGTTTGTGTTGTTGTTGGATGCCTTGTTGTTGTGGCTGTTGGTTTGTATTGTTGTTGCAGTTGTGTTTGTTGTTATTGCTGATGCTGTTGTTGTTGTTGTTGATCTTTCATTTCGCAAGAAGCATTGTGGTTGATCCCCCCTCACCGGTGCATGCGTTTTTTTCTCAATCAAAGTGTGCCCCTCGACGCTCGCACCCTGTTTTTTGACAGGGAAAGTCTTCCTGGTCAAACTGGGCCCCTGGCCCCCCGGATTACAACAACAACAACAACAACAACAATCATTTAAGACTGGGGACACTCCGTTCTCACCAGTGCCAGGGTTTTCATAGGAGGCGGGCAATACCCCCACTTTGTTGGGGGGCCGGTTCAAGCTCTACCAAGTTTCCAAACGACTCTTCGCCACCACCCACACCCAGCTTCCCGCCCTATGACGTTCGGACACTTCACTTCGTGGCCTGCGGACGACCTTGGCTACTACACTGGCGCATGGTATACGACCTTGGCTACTACACTTGCAACCGCAAGGGATTCTGGCCCCTGGCAGGCGCGCGAACCCCGTTGCAAGAGCGTGCGAAAGTAGCTCGCGCGAGCTCATGTAACATAAATGTTGGAAAACCATTGGTTTTTTTAGGATTCGGACAGCGCGCGCGGGTGGAAATTTTGAAAAGTCGTGCAGGTGTTTTTCGAGGACCTACGGTGCGATTCGTGTGATTTTATGATGCGCGGTGCTAAAATTCTTAAGAACCCAATGGTTTTTGGAGATTTCGGCGTGCGCGCGCGAAGAAAAAACGAATGTGTCCCGCATGGTATTATTTGACAGGGATGATGGCCCTGGCAGGTGCGCAACCGTTGTCGCAGAAGTTCGAAAAAGTTGCTCGCAAAAGCCCGTTTGACAGAAATGTTTAAAAAGTGTTGGGTTTCCTACGAATCCGCAAGAGCGCGCGGGATGAGATTTTGACATTTTTTTGTTGAAAAACCATTGGTTTTTTGATGTTTTTATGTTAAAATCGCTCCGAACACTAAGCTTTTGGAAGGATTTCGTCTTGCGCGCGCGAATGTCCACTTTACCTTATTTTTTGCAAGGGATTCTTGAAATTTGATTATATTAGAACAAGAAATGTCATTTTATAGTGTTTTTTGCAAGGGAAAACGGATTACAACAAAACAACCGGATCTGGATCACATCGTTTTACCTGAGGCTTCCTCACGAAAATGATGAAAATGTAGCTGCGGCCTAGGCGGCGCAGGGGGGGCGCGCACCAGGGGGCCCAACAATAATTATTCTTTAGAATAAATAATGTTCAACAACAACGGCTCCCGCCTGAGACTTCCTCCGAATTTACTCAGGACCCCCGCTCCTGAGACTTCCTCACAATTTACTCAGGATCGGTGCTCCCGCCAATGACTTCCTTGCAATGTAGTCAGGACCCCCGCTCCCATCTGAGACTTCCCCACAATTACTTAGGAATGGCGCTCCCGCTTGAGACTTCCTCGCAATTGAGTCAGCACTTCTTCGCAATTTACTCAAGACCCGCGCTCC